TTATGGTGTATGGAGTGTAGACTGATGTGGAAAAAAGTAATTTTAAGCAGTTTAACAAGGCAGCAACATAACAAAACGTGAAAAAAATTAAGGGGTGTGAATACTTTCGCAAGGCACTGTAAGAACTAATGTTAGACCTACCTAAAAAAAACTGAAAATCACTGTTTATTTTATTTGTATCTTTACTCTATTGTATTTATTTGTGCTGTTGCTTGTAGTTAGATAGATTATATTTATTCTCTTTATTTTTATTTGACAGTATAGTTTTTGCCTAAACATAGCACATACCGAAACCGTGACTCTGAAACCGTGATACAAACCGAACCGTGAGTAAGTTGAACCGTTCCACCCCTACTGTAAATGATTATTCTTGAGAGCATTTATTGGACAAAATTCTTATTTAAAATATTTTTGCTCAGTTTTCCTTGTTTAGGACTGCACAAGCATATAAATTAGCCTTAAAGTTAATAGACATGGACTAAAAGCCACAAAACTAATTTTGATTTTGTAGAGTCTTAAAGTAGCGTATAAAAATAAATGTGCTGAAATAAACAAGACCATAAATTTTAAGCATTATACTGTGTTGTTTAATTTACTTGTAAATAGCTTAGTGAGTCAACTGTTTTCTGGTTTTTACTTTTTTTTTTTTTACCTAATATCACAAGCTTATCTTCCCTGTGTGTAAGCAGAGATATATTCAGATATTGGATTTCCATTTTGTGAGTTATTCTGCAAATAATTCACACTAATGGCAGATCCATTAACGGCATTGCTGTGGATTCCACTAAACTGTCGACTTGAATAAGGAATGACCATTAAACGGGCACAAATGTAAATCTATCCAGCCACCAAATTTCTCCGGCAGCAATTAGCCTCTCTATTCATAATGCGGAGTGGTCTTATTACTGTCGTAGATGTGCAAGCTGAGCTTTCCCTGAGAGCTTGTGCTAATACACAGTGGCGCAGTTTCCCTCCCCTTCACTTTCAGTTATACAATTACGATGAGAGTAAGACTTCCAGGAAGAATGTCAAGTCATCTTGACTTGACAGCAACACTAAAACCTTTCATCAAATGAGGAGATATTCCAAATTTATGACCATTGCATTGTGGCCGAACTTGTTAAGGAATTTCTTTCATATAAAAGCGTAAATGACATAACTCAGAAACTGTCTCAAATTAGTCTACTGCTTCAGCTTTGCTTTTATGACTCATAAGTATTTTTTATTTTTTTATCTGCTAATTTGGGGGGGTATCAATAATACTTTTATTGATAGATAAAAGCATAATGAAATTATCCAAAATGGCTCAAAAATGCAAAAACACAAGAGGCAGTACATGTGTAGGACTTTAAGTACCGGTAGTTGATATAGAAGAACATATATTTACCAAAAAGAAATGGGTATATTGCATAAATTGAAAATGCTGTTCAGTTTAATCAATTCCGTTTCAGTTTTGTTTTCGGAGGTTTTTTTTTTTTTTCAACTTAAGATTTTAATATGTTAACATATCAAATTCAATATTATTATGATTTCATTCTGATTTTTAATGATATTGAAAATGACCCCCCACCCCCTCTATTGACAGTCCTGGCTTTTATCAGTAGAAGTTGGAGTTTGTATGACAATATTCTCTGTAAAACTGCTTTGTAATGAAATTAGAGAAGTTATATATGAAAGAAATTTAGCTTTGGTATTAAAATATTTTATTATTATTTTACATTAAAACATTTCACAATATTACTGTATTTCTGATCAAATGAACGCAGCCTGGGTGAGCATAAGAGACTTTAAAAAAAGTGTACACATTATCATTGAGTATAAAATAAGCTGCAGTGTCAACTTGAATATTTTCCAGATATTTTAATAATTTGCTTTGGCATAAGGACTATATATATATTTAGTTTAATTTTAGAGGCCTTCATATTTTCTCATACTGTATAAATGGGTCAAACAGTAAACAATGGGATACAAGAGGGGTTCAGGAAATGTATGAAAACAGTCATTATTTTTGCAGTTTAATTTGGATGCACTAGTAAATCTGAAATTACATATTTTACTTATCGCAAATGTATGTTTTCAGAACTGTTTGGAATTATTATCTTGCAACAATGTATAAGCGAATCCCAAAAGCTACAGTCAGCAGTTTTCTCCACAAGTAGACTGATTTTTCATTCATCAACATGTTTTCTCCTTTTATCATGGTTTCTCTCAGGTAGGAATGCCTGTCAGTTGAATAATGGCGGTTGCTCGCAGCTCTGTCTGCCCACATCTGAAAACACACGCACATGTGCCTGCACCATTGGCTACAACCTGCGCAGTGACCGTCTCTCCTGTGAAGGTAGGTTTTTTCTTCACTTCTAAAAGGAATTCATGTTGTCTTTGGGTTAGCTGCTTGTTTTGTTATGTGGAAGGTGCCCAAAGAAATCTGTGTGACGTTCATTTGACCTTCATCTAACATCTCTCGCTTGCTGTTGTCTATCACAGGCCTGAGTTCTTTTCTGATGTACTCTTTTCATGAGGGGATACGTGGAATCGCTCTGGATCCTGGTGACCACGCCGAGACACTGATGCCCATCAGCGGCACCTTGTTTGCCGTTGGCGTGGACTTTCATGCAGGTACAAACACGGCTCTTCCCATGACTCAGTCCTGCTATCTTCCACTGTGTTCACTAGTGTATAGAACCGCTCTCTGAATCCTCTCTGTGTGCACAACAAAGATAAGGCATGTATCGCTTTCTGTGCAATACTTTTTTTTAAAATGTTGTTTGCCGTCAGATGTACAGTCTCATATTAGCTGCACAGTCTCTTACCAGATCAGAAGGAAATTAACAACACAGCCTATCACATGTAGAAGAGATAAACAGCTCAGATGAGTTAAACAAGTAGGTGCAAACAGATACATGTTCTCTTTATATCTCTTATAGCTACAACTATAAAAGACAGAAAGCAGTATATTAGATAATCTAGCAAATGAAAGTAGAGCCGACATCACCACACTGATGGCGTTGAGGGGTTGTTGTCATACTATGCATTATTCATTCTGTGAATGAGGTTAATTTGACAGCGGTCTGATGCAAGATTATTCAGCCTGTTTCGGGGGAGCATTTTGTGGTGACAAGTGGCATAAATGAAGTGAGCGTCAAGGGGGCAGTCCACATGTGATGGTACCAAATTAGCATTCTAACAGTTAATAATATGAGACATTTCCACAAACACATATGTATGCAGTAGTACAGAATACCTGCTGTAGTCATTCAAATGTGACCTGACCTTTCCTACTCCTACTCCCGTAAACAAACAACCAATAAACACTGTGCTGAAAATAGTGCATATAGCCTTCCATTCAGTTTAGAGCTGATGTAAACATAAGTACACTACACAGATTGGGCTATATACATATACAGTATATATATATATATATATATGTGTGTGTCAAGTTTATTTGTACAGCGCTTTTCACGATACAAATCATTGCAAAGCAACTTTACAGCAAATTAAGTTTCTACAATATTTAGTGGTAGCTTATCAGTGGTGACTGTCAATTAATGTACATATGGCAGAAATGTACGGAAAAATCAATTTAAGACGTAATAAATAACAATATGGTCAAATAAAATAGCACTAATACTAATAATAATTATGGCTGTCAATCAATACAACTGTATATTAATATACATTTTAAAATATTTGTATTCTATTATTGTGTTGAATTAGATAATAGCTCAAATAAAATAGTTTTAAATCTATATAATTTACAATAATTATTGTATAACATTTTGCAAATAAATACAATATAATACAATACAATTTAAATACAATTCAAACTGCAATATTGTGCAATATTATTGCAATTTGAATATATATATATATATATATATAT